GGCAGAGTCGACCGTCCACTCCGTTGATAAAGGAATGAAGTGCAACAGGAAAATGACAACTAAAAACCGAAAAGAGAGGTAGAACTCTCTCTAATCCCAAGGAAACAAGCAAACGTCACACTCCACTGCCACACCACTCATCCATGCACCCTTTCCCTCCCTGCGCCGGCTACTCAGCACTCTAGTTCATTAGCTAATGTGGTCCAGGGAGGACGTTTTCTCTGGCTTTAATTTCCAAGGTAGTGTTTTGGCTTCATGGCGACCTCTGTTGTGTTGTTGTGTGTGGTGGCAAGGTGTTCCTCATCAGTGCCAGGGCTGCATGTGCTTAGGGCTCCCTTTCCTAGGCACCCTGTGAGTACTGTCCTTGCATATTAGGGTTGGGGCATCAAGGTGTTTTCCTGCCTGCCTATCTACGTGGTGGCCGGTTCCTGTTTCCTCTGGAGACGTTGAACTTTTGCAAGATTTTTCTTGCCTGGTGGGGGTCTCCCTGGTGAGGCTGTCATTCCACTTATAATATTTTGGTGGCCCTCTGCTAGGCCCCCATGACTGTACATGTCGCAGGGATTTCAGTGTCTTGATCACCCCTTGTTAGCTTCGGGTCCAAACCGGTTAGCAACACTTTACCCGGGCTTTCCATAGCAGTCAGTCTACAGGCCTTGGAAAAACCACCATCCATCTCGGTGGACCAATGGATGCGTCTTCAGAGTTCTAGCCCGCCTTGTGCAGGTTCGAAGGTTGCTGTATGCCCTTGTCTCAGGGTGACAGTCACAGAATTTCCTTTCTTTAAGGAAATTGACTGGAAAGACTTGCTGTTAGGACATGAAGTAAATGAGATGTATGCCAAGTTTTGTGAAATATATGATAAAGGCAAAAACTTTTTTATTCCAAAGCACAGATTCAGAACTAGGAAACAGGATTGGTTCGACAGAAATTGTGAGAGGGCCAGAGACCAAAAGCTACAAAAACGGAATCAATATAGGAAGAGGCCAAAACCCCAAACATATCAGCGATACAAAGATGCGAGAAACAACTACACAGCAGTGAGGAGAGAGGTGGAAAGAAATTTTATAAAGGGATTGCGGACAAATGTAAAACAGAACCAGGTCTATTCTATAAATTCATAAACAACAAATTGCAGGTAAAGGATAATATTCAGAGGTTGAAAATGGGAAATAGATTCACAGAAAATGAAAAGGAAATGTGTGAAACATTAAACGAAAAGTTCCAAAGTGTGTTTGTACAAAATGAAATCTTCAGGGAAACAGACATAATAAGAATTCCAGAGAAAAGCATAGAGCACATAGAAGTGTCTAGAGATGAAGTGGAGAAAATGCTAAAGGAGCTAAGTAAGAACAAAGCAGCTGGTCCAGATGGAGTTTCACCATGGGTTCTGAAAGAATGTGCACCTGTGCTCAGCATTCCACTTCAACTGATTTTTCAGGCATCCCTGTGTAAAGGAGTTGTAGCTGATGTGTGGAAAAAGGCTAACATAGTCCCAATCTACAAAAGTGGCAGCAGGGAAGACCCCCTCAATTATAGACCTGTATCATTGACAAGTATAATAGTCAAAATATTGGAAAAAATAATTAAAACTAAATGGGTAGAACACCTGGAGAAAAACAACATAATATCAGACAGACAGTATGGTTTTCGATCTGGAAGATCCTGTGTAACGAATTTGCTCAGTTTCTATGATCGAGCCACAGAGATTTTACAGGAAAGAGATGGTTGGGTTGACTGCATCTATCTGGACCTAAAAAAGGCTTTTGACAGAGTATCACATAAGAGGTTGTTCTGGAAACTGGAACATATTAGAGGGGTGACAGGTAAGCTTCTAGCATGGATGAAAAATTTCCTAACTGATAGAAAAATGAGGGCCATAATCAGAGGCAATGTATCGGATTGGAGGAATGTCACAAGTGGAGTACCACAGGGTTCAGTTCTTGCACCAGTAATGTTCATTGTCTACATAAATGATCAACCAGATGGAATACAGAATTATATGAACATGTTTGCTGATGATGCTAAGATAATAGGGAAGATAAGAAACCTAGAAGATTGTCATGCCCTTCAAGAAGACCTGGACAAAATAAGTATATGGAGCACCACTTGGCAAATGGAATTTAATGTGAATAAATGCCATGTTATGGAATGTGGAATAGGAGAACATAGACCTCACACAACCTATAAATTATGTGAGAAATCTTTAAAGAATTCTGACAAAGAAAGGGATCTAGGTGTGGTTCTAGATAGAAAACTGTCACCTGAGAACTACATTAAGAACATTGTGAGAGGAGCCTATGCTACACTTTCTAACTTCAGAATTGCTTTTTAATACATGGATGGCAAAATACTAAAAATTAGACCAATTTAGACCAAAGCTGGAATATGCAGCGGTTGTATGGGGCCCATATCTTAAGAAGCCCATAAACAAACTGGAAAAGGTACAAAGATATGCCATCAAGTGGCTCCCAGAACTGAAGTACAAGAGCTACGAGAGGTTAAAGGTATTAAATATGCAAAAACTAGAAGATAGAAGAAACAGAGGCGATATGATCACTACGTTCAAAATAGTAACAGGAATCGATAAAGTTGATAGGGAAGAATTCCTGAGACCTGGAACTTCAAGAACAAGACGTCATAGATTTAAACTAACTAAACAAAACTCCCAGAGAAACATAAGAAAATTCTCTTTTGTAAACAGAGTGGTAGACGGTTGGAACAAGTTAGGTGAGAAGGTGGTGGAGGGCAAAACCGTCAGTTGCTTCAAAGCGTTATATGACAAAGAGTGCTGGGTAGACGGGACGCCACGAGCGTAGCTCTCATCCTGTAACTACACTTAGATAATTACATCTTTTGCCTCTGTCATGCTGCCTGTTGGGTCAACGACACTTTCGACCCAGAGTCCTGCGAGTTGTGTTCTCTGCTTGTTCTCTAGTATTATACTGATAACATTACTGATAGGGGTGCAGGCAGTATCTGTATTGCATGCTAGGTTTTGGTTGCTGCAACGCGATAGGTTGGTTTTCCACCCGGATGCCCCGCAGCTGCCCCGTTTTGGTTATAGGGACCTGGACCTGGTGGCGTTAGTCGCTTCGACTTTCGTTCAGTCTGCGCTCCCTGGTCCTTTCCCTTTTGTTTATCCTGCACCTGCATCCCTGCTTTTGGCCTACCGTCTGAGGGTTTTAGAGTCTGAGCAGGGTTTAGTTGATAATGAGACTCGGGGAGCTTCGGGGGCTGCCCCATTCGGATTGGGGATGGAGCCATTCGAGACGGTCCCTCCTACCGAGGCTTCTGGGTCTCATCAGCAAGCCCCCTTCTTTTCAGCCTTTTTCCTGAACTCTACATTTTTGTCAGGGATAGAGGGGTATGGAGGACTGCTCTGCCTTGGGATCTGAGATGGGGAATACTGGGGCTGGGGAGGACTCAATCTGGTGGGGGGGGCCTTGGACCCCCATGCCCTCTTCACAGGGCTTGTTGTTGCAGTGTTACCTGGTTGATGGGGTTCTGGGAGTTCTTCTACTTCCCAAGCCCAGCCTGAGGCCAGGCTTGAATTGTGAGAGTTTGGGCCACCAGGCTGTTGCTTGGAGCGGCCCACAGGCCCATATACCCACCACAGCCCGGTTGGTCCGGCACTCCTTGGAGGAAACAATCTAGTTTTCTCTTGAAGATGTCCACGGTTGTTCCGGCAATATTTCTTATGCTCACTGGGAGGGTGTTGAACAACCATGGACCTCTGATATTTATACAGTGTTCTCTGATTGTGCCTATGGCACCCCATACGTAGACGACGTAGGACGTAGGTAGCATTTTTCAATCAGACAGTGGTCCGTTTTGTTTAACCTGCCTTTCTGGGTGCCTTCCCTAGTCAATGGCAAGTATGATATACTTTAAATGTAAAGTGCTCATAGGCCATTGCTCTCTGCCCCTCTCTATGGGAGCCAGGTTCTGGCACTGGTCCGCAGTAGGTAACAAGAACTCTGACTGATGACCCCAAATAGGATAGCACTATATCAGTGGGATAGCTTCAGGGAGCCGATGGGGCACCCCACAGAAAAATTATCTTTTGCAAAACAGAGTTCTAGATGGTTGGAACAATTTAAGTGAGAAAGTGGTGGATACCAAAACCATTAATAGTTTCAAAGCATATGAAAAAATTATAGGGAAGAGGAGACATAATGATAGTACCTCTCATCCCATAACTACACTTAAGTAATTACATCCACACGTGAAAATAATTGGCTATCTAACAAATAGAATGCCGAATAAAAATGGTGACTGTCAGAATCTTAGGAACCTACTCTGATTAGCACTCCTCCATGTTACACCATTCAGTAATTTGTAAACAACACAAATTGGTACACAAACCAAATACAAAATAGGTCAACAGGTCTGCTATTCCTAAATATATTAGGCTAGAAGCCTGGCTGCCAAGGTATATTATTAGCTTTACCTAATATAATGGTGCCATACTCTTGGCAAACAAAATGCAGGAGTCAAGCAGGAACTGTTTAGTTCCCAACAGTCTACAACCACTCATGATAGTGAGGTATATGTTTGAATAAAGTCAATGCCAGCACATATCATAGAACAAGCTAGCTAGGGACAGTGAAAATGGAACAAACCCAAGATGAGGTGACATGATTCTGCTCCTTAAAAACCTTTGTACCCACTCTCCAAAACATGTTTCATTTGTATCATACTTCATTTAATGAAGTGTGATCATTTCTACTATCCCACTAAGTAGGATAGCTCAGAAATCACAAGAAGTATTTTCACTGTCTAATTATACAAGAAACTGAAAATATACATTAAGACAAATTATTTTGAATAATTCTAAAATTATTGCAAACAAAAACATAAAAGATCCCACAATATTTGCTAATGCTAACTTGGTACTCATCACTAGCCATTCAATTATTATTTACTGTATTTATTAGTAAAATTAATGTTTACCTGAATTTACCTGATTAACTAGCATAAATAAATATTCTGTATACCTGGTCTTCCCTACTGAGTGCGGCCGTTAGTAGGGTCTATTAGCATCCTTGGGTCGCTTGAGTTGAACCTTTAGGCGCTTCATGCCAATCTGGAAGCCATTCATCGCCTGGATAGCAGCCTGTGCTGAGGCAGGGTTGTCGAAGCTTACGAAACCTACAAATATAAATGGTTGTTTACAATTATATTTATAGCAGCAATAATATCTAACTTTGAGTACAGTAAGATGAATAATGAATAACACTAATTTACATGATGGTGACAAAATCACAACTGTCAACCCTACAGATCCTCTTCTACAACATTTGTCCAAATTCAATAACTGATAAACAGTATATGCTGTATACTGTAATTACAATAATTTTTAGCTCTAGACCTTGACAAGAAGAATTGAGCAATTATTTTCAGACAGTTATACAGGTAGCAGATTAGTTTGCCTTAGGAGTACATGACAGTACTGTGCAACTATAAGTTGAACCTTTAGGCAAAATCAAAGGATGACCATAAGTAACTTCACACTACAGCACAACTTAGTCATCTAGTACATTCAGTCTAATGTTAAACTACCCTTTCAATGGGCCCTTTATATATTATTCTTATTTTTTTCATAAATGAGCTTTGCTGCTTTTTCTGTTGTCCAGTTTCTCATTTGCACATACTAATTGAGGAAGTCCTCATCCTCTCTCTTCATTTCTCAGAAAACATGAAGTACTGGGTAGGTAGTTGGTGCTATTGTCCACAATTCACTAACATTTCTGAGCTGTTAAAATGCTTATGCAGAGTCAGATATTAGGCAAACAATTAGGTAAGAACTGTTATCAGCAGTAAATCAGTACAAAACACAGTTGACAGAAGTAAGTCCATAATAATTTTTAGGTATCGATAAAAGGAAATACCATCTAGGATAGACAAAATAACAGAACAGAAGAAAATTCATTGAGAAAATAGTAGGTGTAGAAGGTCTCCCAATAAAGGAAAATGTCAGCAACTTCTGAAGAATAGGCAAACATGAAAAAAGATAAGAATTGCCCCTTAACCTTAAGCTACGCAAGGCGTATAAATAAGACCAGAGTAACATGTCTCACCGAGCGCATAGCATACATATATGGCATAGGGTGCCAGCCACAATTCAAATGGCCCGTGGCTACATGTGCTTCACATAAGCTTCCTCAGGGCTCTTGTCAACAGATGCCATGTTTAAAAAAAATATCGTGGGCAAATATTCTTGGGTGTGACAGCCACAGTATTGTGGGAGCACCCAAGGCTGGCACACGCAGCATGAGCTAACAGACTGCTGTTCAGCTTGAGACCACAGCATCACCTAAAAAGTCAAAATAAATATGTAACTGCTATTATTTAGCAATGACAGTATTACAGAAGACCCCAGACTGACACCATGACCCATTCCTAACACTGATGTGACTAAATTTAACTCTAACCTTAGAAATCTAATACTAGAGAACAGACTGAACAAACTGCCACAGCTCTTGATCACATCTGGACCAACATAACCTCTCCGCTTACTTCAGGGATAATCATTGATAGCACTACAGACCATTACCCCACATTTCTCCTAACCAACATTAACAAATCACCTCTAGAGGCAAGGGAGACAAGCTTTAGGCTACACAATGAAACTGCTATAGGCAATTTTATAGCTGCTGCTGCTAATATCAACTGGGAATCCGAATTAGGGAACATAGGAGACATCAACCTAGCAGTGCAATCTTTTCTTCAAAAAACTCTCAGCCTTTATAACACCCACTGTTCTACTCTAATGAAACAAGTCACAACTAAAAGGCTAAACAATTCTTGGCTTACAAAGGGGATACTTAAATCCATTAATAAAAAACATGACCTTGAGAAGAAGTATAGGTTAGGAATCGTCTCCAAAGAATTTTCAAAGAATTACTCATCATTGCTATCTAAAATAATTAGAAGAGCCAGAATTAAATACAGAGCACCACTTGGTTTCCGAACCCCTTGGGGACGAGACCTGTCGGTTAACATGTAAGTTTGTAAACGAGAAATAAAGGGCAAAAATAAACTAGAAATGTAAAAAAAAAAAAAAAAAAATATGAAAAATTTATGGAATAAAACTCAAGGGAAAAAATCGACAGGTTCATAGCGTAAATGCGACCGTATTTTGTTTGTACTCGCCAATAAGTGAAGTCCTGATCCGCTTTATAAAAGTCCTTAATTGTTCCTAACTGATTATTAAGATGTCTGGCAAACATCCTCTGGATGTTTCCTGCCAGCCTGCAGGAACATCCTGCCAGCCTGCCTGCCAGCTTGCATGCTAGCCTCACTCTCTGCCTACCTCCTTCCCTGCCATCCTGCTAACGGGTTGAATGTGTTAGGCTTAAAATTCGGGAGTGAGCTGGTCTCTCCCCCACCACCAACAACCTCATCCCCCTACATCCCATACTCTCTCTTCAAGGTCACGCAGTTCAACCACATGACTATCCCTGCCTCCCTCTCTGCCTGCCATCCAGCCTGCTTCCCTCTCTGCCTGCCATCCAGCCTGCCTCCCTCTGCTTGCCATCAAGCCTGCCTCCCTCTCTGGCTGCCATCCAGCCTGCCTCCCTCTCTGCCTGCCATCCAGCCTGCCTCCCTCTCTGCCTGCCATCCAGCCTGCCTCCCTCTCTGCCTGCCATATCCAGCCTGCCTCCCTCTCTGCCTGCCATCCTGCCTGCCTGCCTGTCAGCCTGCCTGTCAGCCTGCCTGCCTGCCTGCCAAAAATATGCGATGATGTACATTTAAGAAATGTTCACAAATGTGGTGATCCCACTGATGTTAACAACTTCACACTTATATAAATTCTGCCAAACTTGTCAAAAATATTTGAAAAACTAATCTACAAGCAGCTTTACTCTTATCTAGGCAAACTCAATATACTTAGCTCTTGTCAATATGGCTTCAGACCCAAAAAAAGCACTAACGATGCACTTTTTAGTATGATTAACTTGATACATGCAGCTCTTGATAAAAATGAGTTCCCTGTTGGGTTATTTATGGACTTGCGGAAGGCTTTTGACACTATCAACCACCAAAACCTTCTTCTTAAATTACGGCATTATGGAGTCAGAGGTCACTTCCTGAAATACCTTAAGTCTTACCTTACTGACAGGCTCCAGTATGTTTTTGTGAATAATTCAATTTCTCCCACCCTACCCATCAACATCGGTGTTCCCCAGAGCAGCATACTTGGCCCTCTCCTCTTTCTCATCTACATTAATGACCTTTCAAATGCCTCCCAACACCTCAAACCAATTCTATTTGCTGATGACACGACCTTCATTTACTCCAGTCCTGACCCCCTTGCTCTAAATGTCACAGTGAATACTGAGATAAATAAAGTCCATCACTGGCTATCTGCCAACAAACTCACGCTCAATATTGACAAAACTTTCTATATTTTATTTGGCAATAAATCCTCAAATCAAATAAATCTCAGGATAAACAATACCTAAATTTGTAACAAAGTAGATGGTAAATTCCTTGGCATTCTCATTGACCACAAGCTGAATTAACAGGGACTCATTCTAAATATATTAAAAAAAGCTTCAAAAACTGTTGGCATTCTTTCTAAACTCTGATATTATGTACCTCACCCTGCCCTGGTGACACTCTATTACTCTCTTATCTATCCTTATCTTAACTATGGTATTTGTGCTTAGGGTTCTACTACCCAAAATCATTTAAGTCCTCTAATTACCCAACACAAACCTTCTATTAGAACAATATCTAACTCTGGCCCTAGACAGCACTCAGTACCTTTACTAAAGTCTCTGAATATGTTAGATATTAAGTCACTGCACATCCTCTCATGTGTACTCTATATATTTAAAACTCTGAATTGTAATGTCAATCCTGACCTTAAAAGCTTCTTAGAAGGTTGTAACAGAACCCAAGGGCACCACACCAGAAACAAATACCTATTTGATATTCCAAGAGTATGACTTAATCAAACTAGAAATGCTACATTCATGTTCACCATAATGAACCACTAAGTTGGTATGCTGAGTGTCAGTGGCAGTGGCAGTGGCACTGGTAGCCAGTGGCAGGGCTGCCACTGGCTGCCACTCCCTCCCTACCTCATCTCACCTGGCTCGCCACCATACTGTTTTTGCTTTTATATACATACGTTATATATAAGTATTTACATGTTTTGTTCACCATAACTGTACATCTAAGCTTGTATGGTGAGTAAAGGCACAAAGACATAGGACCTCACACAGTCAAATCTGCTATCAGAATGATAACTAACTCAGCTTTCAGACAACACTCAGCTCCCTTGTTTAAATCCCTAAACTTGCTAAATATTAACTCCCTCCACACATTCTCTTGTGTCAACTACATTTACAAAACCCTGTTCTTAAATGCAAACCATGCTCTGAAACTCTCCCTGGACAGATGTAATAGGACCCATTATCACCACACCAGAAATAAATATCTCTTTGATATCCCCAGGGTCAAACTTAATCTGTGTAAACACTCTATGCAAATTAAGGGACCTAGTTTATGGAACTCACTCCCTAGTGAATTGAAAAACTGTAAAACTTTTGCCTTATTTAAAAGCAAAACCAAAAAGTACCTAACTTCATCTTCTTAGTTTCCTACACTGAGCTTTAAATTTGCTCTGTACCTAGTGTTACCCAATCTCCTAATTTTTATGTAATTTCAAACAACCTTATCATTGTGTTCATTGCTGTCTTCTTTTATGTGCTAGCCATATGCTGTATTGTGACTACCAATTTTTGTCAACTACCATTCAAGCTGTCATTGCAACCAATCTTATATTGTTTCTGCTGTATTATGCCTACCAATTTTTTTGTCAACTACCATTCAAGCTGTCATTGCAATCAATCTTAGCTACCTATGTGCTTTAATATACTGTACCTACAATTTTCTGTCATCTTTTTTTTCCTTTCATGTAATCTGTTATCATTTTTTGTCTATAATTTTGCAAGTATTTACCTCCTTAAAATTTTCTTAGATTAAGGACCTGCCCGAAACGCTGCGCGTGCTAGTGGCTTTACAAGACTGTAATTACCATATTTGTATCCTTACATTCCTTATGTACATTCTTGTATATGCATAAATAAATAAATAAAATAAATAAATAAGTCAGCTGGCTGCCGCCCTCAAGGCCA